ATTAACATATCAGGTGTAGTAAAAAGAAATCCATTATTTTTGCATGAAATTGAAGGCTTTAATTAGCATAGTTAGAACGATCCGATTTAGGTCAAATATGCGCCGTTTTGTTCGATAACTTGTTGCCATTTTGAAGGTAATTTCATTATGCCTCTCTCATAGAAGCTCTCGTCCCTATTGGCAAAAAATTGAGACAGTCGATTTTCACAAGCCTCTCTTGAAGCGAATTTTTCACCAGCAAAATTGTTCGCCATGGACAGGAACAGATGGTAATCACTTGGTGCCAGGTCCGGATAATAAGGTGGATGCATAAGAACCTCCCAACCAAGCTCCCGGAGCTTCTGGCGAGTCACTATCGATGTGTGTGGCCTGGCGTTGTCCTGATGGAACACAATTCCTCTCCTATTGGCCAAAGCTGGCCGCTTCTGGGCGATTGCTTCCTTCAGACGGTCCAATTGTTGACAGTACAGTTCCGAGTTAAGAGTTTTGCCGTAGGGGAGCAGCTCATAGTAGATAATTCCCTGCCAATCCCACCAAACACACAGCAAAACCTTCCTGGCCGTCAATCCTGGCTTGGCCACCGTTTCCGCCGGCTCACCGCGATTCGACCACGACCGTTTTCGTTTGACGTTGTCGTAAGTGATCTACTTTTCATCACCAGTGACTAACCGCTTCAGAAATGGGTTGATTTTATTGCGATTCAGCAGCGATTCGCAGATGGAAATTCGGTCCATGAGATTTTTTTGCGTTAACTCGTGTGGCACCCATACATCGAGCTTCTTTTTGTATCCAGCCTTATTCAAATGGTTCCAAACGGTGTTTTGTGCAATCTTTAGCTCTTGGGCAATCGAAACAGTGCTTACATGACGGTCGGACTCGACAATGTCCATGATTTTATCGATATTTTCGACAATTGGCCTTCCATTGCGTGGTGCATCTTTGACCTTTGACGAAATTACCGGAACGGAATCGACGAAACCAAAATTGCGCGTGATTGGCTGTTACAGTATCAGGACCATAAACACTATTCACATTTTCAGCCGCCTGGCTTGCGTTTTCGCCTTTATCGAAGAAAAACTGTAAAATATAGCGTATTTTCTCTTTGCTAGTGTCCATCTTTGACGCGCGCTCAAACAAAACTGAGTCAACTAATCACAAAACTGTCAGAAAAGTTTTTTTAGTACGAAATCTCATCTTTCTAACGCCATCTAGTGGAACCCGATCGGACTTATACAACGCGAGATACAGATAACTAAAGCCATCTATTGGAAAAATAATGGATTTCTTTTTACTAAACCTGATATCTTTAATAGAATCACATGATTTTTATTTGTATCATGCTATTCCCCTACTTGTCAAGCAAAGCGGGGAGGTTGTGTACATTTTTATAAATCCGTCGTACACACATTACGACCTCAAAACAGATAAATAAATGAATACTCCTTCCTCTAAAGGCAGTATATCAAAATGTAAAAAAATTAATGATGCACTGATTTGTAAACACTGACTTGTTATATCAAATTACAGGAATTCATAATTGTGAAGCGGAATTATTAAAGTCAACCAGACTAGAGAATCTGTTAAAGAAATGTGATATCAAATTGATGAAAATATATGATACTGTTTGGTTCCAATTACATACCGTTAATTCGTTCACAGTTTGTTCACAGCTCCGCGCGACGAAACATTACTAGGTGCACAACTAAGTTTCCGGGTTTTTGATCAATGAAAAATGGAAAATTTCAAGAAAAATGCAAAAAATGGTTTATTCAAAGTATCGTCCTTTGCTAGCTACACATTTTTGCCATATCTCTGGCAATACATGAATACCGCGACGATGAAACGACGCGTCTTTGGACCAAAACCATTCATCCAACCAATTTTGCACTTCTTCGAAATTGTCCAAGTGTTGCCCAGCCATCGACCGGAACAAGTGATAATCGGAAGGAGCCAGATCTGGCGAATACGGCGGGTGCGGTAGCAGATCCCATTTCAGCGTTTTGATGGTGTCCTGAACGATGGAAGTGCGATGGCACGGAGCGTTGTCGTGCTGCAATATCACTCGTTCGTGTCTCGTGTCCCATTCTGGTCGTTTTTCGAGCAATGCATGGTTCAAATTGATCAGTTGTTGTCGGTAGCGATGCCCATTGACAGTTTCGCCTGGTTTCAGCAGCTCATAGTACACGATTCCTTTCCGGCTCCACCAAACGCAGAGCATTGTCTTCTTTCCGAAGCGATTTGGCCGTGCCGTCTACGTTGATGCTTCGCCAGGTGAAAGCCATGATTTCTTGCGTTTGGAATTCTTGAAATATATCCACTTCTCATCGCCAGTAACAATTCGATGCAGGAAACTCTTTCTTTCATGCCGCAAAAGCAAAATTTCGGAAGTGGCTCTTCGATTTTCCATTTGTCTCTCAGTCAACTCATGCGGCACATATTTTCCTTCCTTTTAAATTTTTCCCATGGCATGTAAACATTTGGAAATATTTTGGCGAGTCATGTTTAATGCCTCCTCAAGTTGATCTTGTGTTTGCGTATCATCTTCATCCAATAACGCTTGCAGATCGGTGTCCTCCGGCTTGTTTTTGGTCCTCCGGAGCGCTCCTTGTCCTCAGTGTCGAAATCGCCACTTCTGAAGTGTTTAAACCAATCTTCATAGATAGTTTTCGATGGTGCATGTTCGCCGTAGGCCTCCTCAAGCAAACGACGTGCTTCAGCTGCACTTTTTTTCAAGTTAAAGTAGAAAAGCAAAGTTTCCCGCAAATGCTGTTTATTTGGCACAAAACTCGACATCTTCGTTAGAAAAAATATTTTTGCGTTGCAATATGTGTTGGTATTACGACTGGTTATTGTTAACAGATGTCCAAGTTATAAAAAAGAGACAACTTCAGACATGTATGTCGACTACATGTGCCGTTAGCGCCATTAATGTGTGAAACCCGGAAACTTAGTTGCGCACCTAGTACATATTGTTCAAAGATGATAAACTACGTCAAACTTAATTGATTTCAACTGGATTAATTAAATTATCACCCGACTGTGATGTAATTTCAGATAATGCATTGTTACATAACCAATCTATAGCTGTAATGTCCATTATGAACAGAGATTTTGTACCAAAAGTTAATTTAAATACTAACAAATTGTGCGAAAATATAAAGGAGGCACATAGTGTAAATATTTTAAAACTTCCTTTGTTAAATATTGGGAAAATGCCTCGTTTAGATGTTAGTTCGTTAAAATGAGCTAGTTGTCTCCAAAAAAAGAAATTAAGAAGAGGTAGATCAGGTGATAGATACTTAATGGCATTTTCCTACCTATTTATCGATTATGAAATGAAAGGTTTAAAAATTCTCGAACTCGTACCGCAAAATGAGGTCCTGCTCTATCTTACTGGAACCAAACGTTTTGCATGTTTGCGTCAAATAAATTTTCAATTTCAGGAATGATATAATCTCGCAATAAATTTTCATATTTTCCAGCATTTAAATAACCATCTATGAATAATGGGCCTATAATACCGCGACTACAGATCCCTATCCAAACATTAAATTTTTGTAGATATTGTGTGCGACGATCACTCATCCAATGTGTATTTTTATCATTCCAATATCTACAATTGTGGCGATTAACAGCACCATTTATTTGAACTGTGGCTTCATCAGAAAAAATAACAAAATTCAAAAAGTTAGCATTATCATCACACCAATACATCAGTTCTTCACAAAATTGGATTCGTCTATCAAAATCATCTTCCATAAGTTCTTGAGCGATAACAATTTTATACGGATAATATTTATGCTTTTTTAAAATGTTAGAAACGTTGCCTTCACTGATATCATGGGCTTGTGCTGTTTTTGATACGGACATATGAGGATTTTCTTGAAATGATTGGAGAACATTCAAAATCTTATCATCATTAGTTGCGGATTTTGGCCTTCTGCTGCAAGATCGGTCCTTTATTGTTCCCGTTTCAAAAAAACGAGTCACTGTTCTGCAAACAGTGGATTTAGAAATCAGGATCGAGATCAGGATGTGTAACATTGAATAGATCAGCTACTTCTTGATATGATCTAATATGGTCACCAAATCCTCGATAAATAAGTAGCAATATTCTTTTTTTTTCGGTTTTCAGAGAAAAATGAGATATTATAATCGGAAAAAGAAACAAAAGAGACAAAGGGCAAGATACGAGCGAGCGCAACTCGTTTTTAGAATATGTGGGCCGAGAAGAATCTTTGATCGCACCTCCGGGCGGTCTTTGAGTAATGCTAATGCCGGCGGTACTGCAACTTCCAAGCGTCATAACTTCGAAAGAACTTAATAAAAAATGACTTTATTATAGTGTTTTGGAAAGCTTTCGAGATAAGCTACAAGAATTTCCAATAAAAAATAAGGGGTCCCATTTAAAAAAAACAAAGTTGACCTTCATATGACCTTAAGAACGCCACTTATGATCAAACTGATGTCTATTAAATATATATTTTTAAGCCCTACAACTTTTGCATCAAACATTTTTTCATATCTTTCATATTTTTCGAAATATTTTAGCGTTCCTGGACTTTTTGAGGACCCTGCTTTGGATTATTGTCTTACTGAAACATCTATTCCTTATCGAGATTCATTTTTAGAATTGATTCTTCTAAGTTTTCATTTAAAATGTCAATATATTTATCAGCATTCATGATTCTATCTATAGTTACTAAATTTCCAATTCCATACTACCCTGTATATTGTAGGGTAAGAATTTATATTGTACTCTAACTTTAAGGAAATATTGTAAATTGTTGTGGGGAAATCCTCATTCTAAAGGGGGAGGTGTTACGTTTCTAACATATCTCCGTATCTTTCCAACTCTAGTTTGTTTATCTATGTCCCAAACATTCCTATCCCTTTCCAAATATTTCTTTATGATTATATCTACTTTTATGACCCTATCTGTTTTAAGATAGTAATTTTCCTTTAAACTTCTCACGAAAACGTTAGTCAGTCTCCAGTCATCTTCCTTCCTGCAAGGAACATCTCCTGCTCCTCTCGTAGTGTATTCTCAAATTATATACAATCGTGGACAAAATTAAGTGGATGAAGGTATCATAAATAACAAAAGGTTAATTTAATTTAACTAATAATGTCAAAAAATCAAACTTTTATTGCTTATTTAAATTAACAAAATATAATTTGACAAAATATAAAGAAAAACCAATTGTAACAAATAATATATTAAAATTTTTATTGATTAATGATAATATAAAACTGCACATGGGCAAAATTAAGTGGACACTTTATACAAAGTAAATATTAATACTTCGTATTGTAGTCTTTTGCTTTTTTACTGCTTGTAAACGTCGTGGCATACTTTCAACAAGTTTTTCTAGATAATGTTTATCAATTTCTTGAAGTTTTAGTTGCAATTCATTTAAAAATAAAAACTTTTTTATTTTGCGTTTTTTTAATGGAATCTCTGCACCCAGTAAACTTCATAAATTTTCAATTGGATTAAGGTCCGGACTTTGTGAAGGCCATTGAAGAACTTTTATTTTACAATTCTGAAAAAATTGTTTCGTTTCCTTTGCTGTATGCTTCGAATTATTGTCTTGCTGAAACATCCATTCCTTATCGAGATCCATTTTTAGAATTGATTCTTTTCTCTTTCTTTTGATTTCATTTAAAATGTCAATATATTTATCAGCATTCATGATTCCATCTATAGCTACTAAATTTCCAATTCCATACCACCAAAAACAAGCCCATCATTACTGCACTTCCTCCATATTTGACTGTTGGTACAACATATTGCTTCTTTAGAGCTTTATTCGGTTTCCTCCACATGTGAGCTTTCTTACTTTCATTTAATAATTCAAATATACATTCATCGCTCCATATTATTTGTTTCCAAAATGATAATAGCTTATTTACATATTTTTTTGCAAAAAAGCTTTCTTTTTATGCACTTTATTAATGTATGGTTTACGTCTATGGTTTAATCGTCTTTTCCAGTTCTTGAAGATATGTTTAATTGTAGTTGTTCAATAATGTTTTGTGACGTTGTCGATGGGTTACATTGAGCTTCTTTCACAATTCTTTTGTCATTGTATGCATTTGTGTTACGTCTCCTTCCCCGACCATGTACATTTTCGACAGTATTATATTGTAAATATTTTGTATAAATTTTATAAACTGCGCTTTTCGAAACTTTATATTTTTCGGCTATTTTGCAGTAACTTAGTTTATTTTTGCAGTCTGAAATAATTAGATTTCGTAGATGAACGGAAAACTCTTTTCCTTGCTTAGACATGTTTGTTTATTAACTTTGATTGTACTAGTGCAAGGATCAACTGAGGACACAATAACATCATATATTAAGTAAAACTCAACATTTGTTTATATTGTTCCACCTTGAATATAAAATTTTCTGTTTGTCCACTTAATTTTATCCAAAGTCTAAATGCTAACTATATGAATAAATATATGTAAATACATGTAAACAGTTACAGAAACATTGTTTTTACAATTATACAGGGTGTTCATTTGAAAACTTTCCAGCTAATTATTTCGAAAATTATGAAAGATATTAAAAAAAGCTAAAACACGTGTTCCATGATTTCGAATAAATTTAATAATTTTGAAATTTTCAAAGGTCGATAAGTTAATAAAAGTTAGGGCACTATTATAGTAATATATCCTTGATAATAAATAAAGTAAAAAATCTAATAGTATTTTTTTCTTTCGACGAATAGTTAGCGAGATATCGTAAATGTTGAAAAAGTTACCAAGTTATCCTTAAATATTTCAAAAAATATTAGGCAAATAAATAATGTTTCAGACAGAAGTTGTTAAAATTAATTGGTAGAAAAAGATGATATAATAAAAAATTGGGCTTTCTATTTTAAAAAATAAGTTGGCTAACTGACTTTGAAAATGCTCTCCAAATAAAAAATTGATGATGCCATTCTCTTTCCCCTTCGAAATCATGGAACATGTGTTTTAGCTTTTTTAAAATCTTTCATAGTTTCCGAGATAATTAGCTGAAATTTTTTAAATGATCACGCTGTATATACTAAATTAATGTTCTTTCATGTCAACAAGAATATTTTACATTCAAAATTTAAAATTTATTTATAACATTAGAATGAAAGCGAAGAGGATTTGCCAAAATTTAGACAGTATCCACTTAATTTTGTCCAAGACTGTACATATACAGGGTGTCTTATTTTAAAAAACGCACCTCGATAATTCTTCAACGAAGCATTTTCAACAAAAATGTTTCAGACAAAAGTTGTATGATTTCAAGGGGAACATAAAACAACTATACAATTTTGTTTACAAATGGCATTACTTTTGAGATATTCACTAATTATTACTTTTCTTAAATGGAAACCCCAATTTTTTATTACACTGTCTTTGCTACCAATTGATTTAAACAACTTTTGTCTGAAATATTTTCTTATTTGCCTAATATTTTTTGAAATATTTAAGGAAAACTTGATAACTTTTTTAATATTTAACTCACGATATCTCGCTAACTAGTTGTCCAAAGAAAAAGTGGTACTAGACCTTCTTGCTTTATTTAGTCTCAAGAATATATTGTTACAATAGTGCCCTGATTTTGGTTAATTTGATGATTTTGAAATTTCCAAAAGTCAGTAAGTTAAAACCAAGAGTTCATTCTGATGTTTAGAGGAATGTTTTCCAAAAAATCATAAAAATCATTGTTCAAAAATTCTAAATATCCGTTCGCATTCAAATGATCTGATAGAAAATAGAGTCCAATTAAAGTACAATCCATTATTCCTAACCACATATTGCACTTAAAACTATATTGGAAATGTTCACGGGTTGCTCAAAGATTTTCATGTGACTAAACATGACTATTTCTTTGATTGAGAATGCCTTGTCTAGTAAATATGACTTCATCTGTCCACAAAATGTTTTGCGAAAATTATGGATCATTATTTGTTTAGTGTAAAAACTAATCGCAAAATGGTGTCAAAGCACCAAGACGCCATCGCGACAGTCAGCCCGAGACGCGTTATCACTTAGCCTTGACGCACATAGCTCGCCGCAGAGTATCTATAGGCTGTGATGGGCGTGACAAACGCCAAACTTTATGCGGTTATTACTAAAAAACGATGCGAGATATCGCTAAATGGGACAGGACTTTTGTTTCTCTCACTTAGCTTAACGCCCCTATGCAGTTGGTGTATTACAATTATGGGACACCCTGTATGTACAGGGTGTTTTAGACCACCCGAGTCACCTGATTTTTTCGTAAACGCGATATTTTAGAGACTAATGTTTAAGGCAATAGTAGTAGGGTTTTAAGTGACGCATTAGATAATGATAGTATGACCTGGAATAGCGTTGTCAAGGTCACGTGAAGGTCACCTTCAATTTTTTTAATGGAATCCCCCTTTTTATTACATATTCTTGTAGCTTATCTCAAAAGCTATGCAAAACATTATAATAAAGTATTTTTCCATTAGGTACTTTTCGAGTTATGAAGTCTGAAAGTTAGAATACCGCCTCCATTGGCATTACCCAAAGTGTACCGCGTGAAGGTTATACGGTCGGATTTACATCTCTTTGTGTGTGTGTCACAGCAGAGATAAGGGTCCCACGGTTCGTCATTCCCGTAGTATTTAACGACTCCAAACCCTCTCTGCTATGTATGTGTGTGTATGCGTGTGTGTGTGTAGCTGATGTAATTAGGCCTTATGTTCGAAATGTTCACCGTTTGCTTCAATACAAGCAAGCACTCTTATCTCAAAATTATTTGTTGCACGAAGAATTTCATCAGCATTTAAAGAACAAATAGAGTCACGTATTCTACGAATCATATACTCTGTTGTCACAGGACGTTCGCGGTATAACAAAACTTTTAGTCTTTCCCGCAAATAATAATCGAAAACAGTGAGAGCCGGTTACTGTGATGGCCAATTATGTGGACATACTTGCCTATCCGTTTATCTTAAGATTAAATAATTTTGAGACTAAATAATTTTTCTTGAGACTAAATAAAGCAAGAAGGTCTAGTATCACTTTTTCTTCCAACAAATAATTAGCGACGTATCGTAAGTTAAATATTGAAAAAGTTATCAAGTTTTCCTCAAATATCTCAAAAAATATTAGACATATAAAAAATGTTTCAGACAAAAGTTGTTCAAATTAACTAGTAGAAAAAACAGTGTAATAAAAAATAATGGTTCTTATTTAAAAAATGCAAGTTGACCTTCAAATGACCTTGAAAATAGAGGTCGAGGTCAAAGTCAAGGTAATCATAAGGTAGCTCACTTAAGTGCCTACAACTTTTATTTAGATCATTTTCCTTGAAATTTCAATAGTGAAGAGTTATTTGAGGTGGGACATTAAAATGGGATACCCTGTATATTTCGGCCTTTTACGAATGTATTATGGATATTACTAATCCTTTGTGATACATTTATTCGACGTACCTAGGATCAAGTTTTGCCATATGGATATATTTTATTCCAATAAATAATGTAAGAACTTGAAACAAATATGATATAAATATGTATTTCTACATAATACTTCTACAGTAATTTACAAACAACGTTTGTAAAATTTTGATCGTAACTTTTAAGAGACAGGTGATACGCTGAGAATTACTCGAAAACTGACTGTCGAAACGGCACGACGACGAATATATGAGAGCGTCTCAACGTTCACACTTTACTTATTAATATCATTTTACTGCTGCCCTGTTGTTCTATTGTAATTACTACTATTACTTATAATATGAAAAATAGATATATTAAATATATAAACAAAGAAATTAAACAATATATTTTTATATAAATTTAAAAGATCACAAAATTTGAAAAATAATTTAAAATATATGAAATAATTTCAGATTGTACTTGTAAAATTATTCCGTGAGGTGCGGACAATATTCTGGACATTATGAAATTAGAAAATATTACGATTGAAGAAGCGGTGGAGATAGCTGGAGGGAACAAAAAACTCTATGAAGAGAAGTTCGATAAATTTCGACAATGGTTGAAACAACAAGTTCATCTTCCTCAAGGTTTGTATTTAAAATTCAAACGGAGCTTATATACAGGGTATCTCAGAACTTTGGGACACGGGTTCCGTAACCTCTGTGAAGTTGGCCCCACCTTTTCAAAATTTGAAAAAAATGAGCAGAGTTCTGATTGCCCCCCAAAGAGTCCTAGAGTTCCGTTGATTAGAGTGGTCTAAACACGAAATAAAGTTATGGGAGGCCAACTTCACAATTGCGTAAATTTCAAAAGGTCATAACTTTTTTACCTTAAACTTTAGCGCTTTGATGCTTGAAGAAAATCGATAGAACTCTTCGGGGGGTTACCAGAACTCACAAGAAATTGACCGATTATCGAAAAAAAATTTTCTATTAGAAAATTCGGCATCTGCGATATTTTGATGAGCTAGAACTTTTTCATTTCTGCTCGAATCGATTCGAGTCATAAGGAAAACCGATAGAACTCTTCGGGGGGCTACCAAAACTCTCAAGAAATTGACCGATTTCCGAAAAAAATTTTTCTCCTAGTTGGACTTAGAAAATTCTACATCTGTGATACTTTGATAAGCTAGAACTTTTTCATTTCCGCTCGAATCGATTCGAGCAGAAATGAAAAAGTTCTAGCTCATCAAAGTATCACAGATGTAGAATTTTTTAAGAGAAAAATTTTTTTCAGAAATCGTTCAATTTCTTGAGAGTTCTGGTAGCCCCCCGAAGAGTTCTATCGGTATTCCTTATGACTCGAATCGATTCGAGCAGAAATGAAAAAGTTCTAGCTCATCAAAGTACCACAGATGCAGAATTTTCTAAGAGAAAAATGTTTTTCGAAAATCGTTCAATTTCTTGAGAGTTCTGGTAGCCCCCCGAAGAGTTCTATCGGTTTTCCTTATGACTGGAATCGATTCGAGCGTAAATGAAAAAGTTTTAACTCATCAAAGTATCACAGATGCAGAATTTTTTAAGAGAAATATTTTTTTCGGAAATCATTCAATTTCTTGAGAGTTCTGGTAGCCCCCCGAAGAGTTCTATCGGTTTTCCTTATGACTCGAATCGATTCGAGCAGAAATGAAAAAGTTCTAGCTCATCAAAATATCGCAGATACCGAATTTTCTAATAAAAAATTTTTTTTCGATAATCGGTCAATTTCTTGTGAGTTCTAGTAACTCCCCGAAGAGTTCTATCGATTTTCTTCAAGCATCAAAGCGCTAAAGTTTAAGGTAAAAAAGTTATGACCTTTTGAAATTTACGCAATTGTAAAGTTGGCCCCCCATAACTTTATTTCGTGTTTTGATCACTTTAATCAACGGAACTCTTTTTTTTATTGATAGAGAACTCTAGAACTCTTTGGGGGGCAATCAGAACTTTGCTCATTTTTTTCAAATTTTGAAAAGGTGGGGCCAACTTCACAGAGGTGGTTCCGTAGGGATATAGAGCTAAGTGAGAGGAACCAAAAAATTCTGTACCATAATGTGAAAATCGTAATAGTTTTTTAGTAATAACCGCGTAAAGTTTGGAGTTTTCCACGCCCATCGTGGCCTATAGACGCTCCGCGTAGCGTAGCTGTGTGCGTAGAGACTGAGCGATAACGCGTCTCGCGCTGACTGTCGCGATGGCATCTTGGCGCTTTGACGCCGCGCGACGACCAGCGCGAGCCGCGTTATCGCTTAATCCCTACGCACACAACTTGCCACTGAGCATCTATAGACCGCGCTGGGCGTGGAAAACGCCAAACTTTGCGCGGTTATAATTAAAAAACTATTACGATTTTTACATTATGGCAGAGGACTTTTTTGTTCCTCTCACTTAACTGTATATCCCTACGGAGCCCGTGTCCCAAAGTTCTGAGACACCCTGTATATTGATTAATTGTTTACATATTGCGTCCAAACAAAACATATCTAATTAATTGTGATTGACAGATTTAAAAAAGAAAGTAATTTCTATATAACTCTAATAAAACGAATTACTTCGTGATTTGCGGAATACGGATGTCGATTACCTCCATTCAATCATTAATAGCTGATCAAGTTACCATGATGTATTCTATCATTACATATTAACTTAGTAAAAATGAATGACATGCATTAATATGCCACAATAATAAACATAATCCTACATTTCGCGCAGACATCTCAGATAATCGATTACGGATCACGCTTTTAACTTCAAAATTGAATCTAGAGAAAGCTAAAAAACGTTTAGATTCGCAATACACACTTCGTACCTTGCTTCCTGAGTTTTTCACCAACTATGACCCGCAGAATGATAACATCGCTCTAGTACACAAATGTCTGTAAGTATAAATATATTGTTACATATTATATATTATACTATATATTTTATGCTGATTTTAACAAATTGTTACGTACGAAACTAGTATCAAAGACACTGATCTAACATAAATATTAATTAAAATTTGATGTAATATTGAAAATATAATATTGAATATAATATTAAAAAATAAATCCGAAATATTTAATATTTGTATTTATAAATAAACACTCACGCGTTTGCTTTGGATTTTTTTATCTAAAAATGAATTTTCTTACTCTCCGAAGTGAATTATGTTATGCATACAGGATGTTCTGTGTAATATTAGGAGTACAAATAAGTATCCACCGTTTAACAAAAGATGGTCCCACTAGAAGGTTATGTTGAAATTGTCAGATGTAAAACGTAATATCGTAAGTTTGGACATCTGGTAACAACATAACCTTGAAGTATTAGTGACTCCGTATCAGCATCACATAATTTTTTTCGTACAAAAATGTCAAGTTTTGTGCCGAATAAGAGTTATTTGCAGGAACTTTTGATTTACTTCTTTAATTTGAAGAAATCTGCAGCTGAGGCGCATCGATTGCTTGTAGAAGCATATAGTGAGACTGCTTTAAGTGAGAGAAGTTGTCGTGAGTGGTTTCAAAAGTTTAAAAACGGTGAGTTTGACGTGGAAGATAAAGAACGTAGTGGAAGGCCGAAAGTGTACGAAGACACGGAATTGGAAGCATTATTGGAAGATTCGTGCCAAACGCAAGAAGAACTTGCACTCACTCAGTGCAAGTGACTCAACAAGCAATTTCACATCGTTTAAAATCGTTGGGAATGATTCAAAAACAAGGAAATTGGGTTCCACATGAACTGAAGCCGAGAGACATTGAACGCCGATTTTGCACGTGTGAAATGCTGCTTGCCAGACATAAAAGAAAGGCATCGTATAGTCATTGGTAATGAAAAATGGATCCACTACGATAACCCAAAGAAGAGAAAATCATGGGGACTACCTGGCCATGCTTCAACATCGACAGCCAAACCGAATATTCATGGAAAAAAACTCATGCTGTGTATTTGATGAGATCAGCTTGGTGTCGTGTATTACGAGTTGCTCAAACCGAGCGAAACCATTACTGGAGCTCTCTACCGAACACAATTAATGAGATTGAGCCGAGCACTCAAGGAAAAACGCGCCCATTACTACTCCAGACACGACAAAATTATTCTCCTACATGACAACGCTCGGCCACATGTTGCAAAACCGGTCAAAACCTATTTGGAAACACTTAATTGGGAAGTCCTACCTCACTCGCCGTATTCACCAGACATTGCCCCTTCCGATTATCACTTGTTCCGGTCGATGGCACATGGCCTGTCTAAGCAGCGCTTTACATCATGTGAAGATACTAAAAATTGGGTCGATTCGTGGATAGCCTCAAAAGATGAAGAGTTCTTCCGACGTGGTATCCGAATACTGCCAGAAAAATGGAAAAAAGTAGTGGCTAGTGATGGATACTTTGAATAAAACGTAATGTACCGTTCTTCCACAATAAATTCCTCATTTTTGATAGAAAACGGCGGAAACTTATTTGTACTCCTATAGTTTGTACGATTTAAAAAATTTTTAATTTTAAATTTTTTCGATGGTTTAAGGAAACTGTTGCAAGATAAATTTTTTACCATTTGATGTAAATTACAATTTGCAATGACAAAGGATAAAAAAAATATTCTTTTTCATAAAGAAATCAAAGTTACTCTGAATCTGCCAGAAAATGACACCTTTTTCTTTATTTTTTTTCTTTACATAATATTGTGAAGGATTTCGAAGATGAATTTGATGCACTATCACAACGTGATATATTATGTAAAAAAAAGTATATAGCATCATTTAAAAATTTCAAGATGACCTCGTTTTCTTTTTGAAAAAAATATTCTCTTACCTCTCGCCACTGTAAATTGCTACTATATATTTTATAAAATAGTTAGGAATATATATTTCTTTTTTATAAAACGAAGTGCAAGAGTAGGTGAAAAAACTGTATTTAATAAAAAAAAATAAAGTATAATTGCAAATTTATTATCTTTGAAAAATCAATTTCTTGTGTTTGCATTGAACATGTCTTCATAAATACATAATTTCTTGTAGACAATGGGTAATTCTACCAAAGCTGACGCCAGAAAAATATCGAATTACTTTTTTCCGATTTATAAGCGAAGACGCTTCTATCTTTCATCTTGCGGATCTGATGAAGTACGTAGAAACAAATTATAAAAACAAGTACATATGTATTATCGATATCTTAGAGACATTGAAGTTTTATCCCGCAAATACATCGCGCCTTTCTGGTCCCAAAGATATACACACAACATAAGAATTACTATCACTCTTAGTAAGTCCCAGGATACTACAAAAGTGAGCTTAAATACACGCATGTATTATCCCCGTCCGACAATGATAAGTCATCGTTTGAAGCTACAAAAGAAACAACGGTAGCGGGTAACAATGATAAAAGAAAGAAGAACAAAAAGAAAAGAAGAAGATCTGGTGGAGCTTGACGCGACCTTATGAACATCCCATACTATTGGAATCCACACGGTGCTCGCGCCCGATGCCGACGAAATTATTATTTAACGCCATCGTTATTACGCGCTCGCGAATAATTTTCGAGCGTTTTCACGGGACGTCATTTGGCCGATATAATCACAACGGATCAATCTCGCTACCTTACTCTACGCAGTCTTTGGAACCTACTCTCCTCTTCCCTCTGCTTGTCTTTCCTTCTAATCTCCTTTCCTATTCCCGTAAAACATGCAACTTCCTCTGTCTATCTTCCTTTCGCCCCTCCTCATTCTTTCTCGCCTGCTATTATCGATAATGAGATAGAAACGAGATACTTCCACACTTATCATCTCTCCCTACCGCTACAGTTACACTCTACCTAGCGATGCATATTGAGAGGAAAAACTGAAATTGGTGACTTTGGCGAAATGGTATGAGAAAAGAAAGCGCGAGAAATTCGCGAAGCTATTTAAATTGTAGAATTTTTGGCACATGCTTTTGTATATCCGCAATTTTGAATAACATAAAAAACTCAGGACAAATCACGTCACGAATTTAATACGTTGACTGCCACGGAATTTTTCACGATTCCGGTCTAAAGAGCCAATTTGATTTAATCATGTTATATTATTAAAAACTTTAATAATAGTACATAGTAATAATCAAAAAGCTTAAATAATGTTTCTTTTTAAAAAAACATTTTGTATTCTCTTTCCTGAGGCCATCTATTCATATTTACTGTTATGCTACGAGTTTCCTCGTAGCTGTACAAATATGGCAAGTAATGAAGGGACGAGATAACTCGTAGTAGGTATCCTGGGCAAGTAAACAACCTACGAGATATTTCATAGTTAGCAGTCAACGTGTTAACAAATAACAATTATTCTGTTTGTTTCTAACAGAAAAACTTATAAAGAAGGTTATAAAGAATTATAAAGAATGTACATCTCCATTGATTGTATTTTTATCGAATTATTAATCATAATAAAAATTGGGTCAGCGTAAAATTTAAATAGATTTTCTCGTTGCGATTTTACGAATTTAAGACAAGTTCATAGAATATAAATATTAGGTGTATAACTTTACTTCCGCCGTTTTTTTCGAAATTCGAGGCTTTATTGTAAAAAACTGGTTATACATTTATGATTCAAAGTCCATCGCTGGCCACTACTTCTCTCATCTTTCGGGCAGCGTACGAATCCCGCGTTAAAAAAACTGGTCATCTTTTGAAGCGATCCACGAATCGATCCAATTTCTTACTTCTTCATAAGTGCTTCATAAGTGCTTTATAAGTGCCGGAAGTGCTGGTCAACCAGGCCGTGTGCCATTGATCGAAACAAGTGATAGTCAGAGGGAGCAACGTCTGGAGAATACGGCGGGTGGGGTAGGACTTCCCATTTCAACGTTTTCAAGTATGTCTTGACCACTTTCGCAACATGGGGTCGAGCATTGTCATGCTGCAAAATCACTTTATCCTGTCTCTCGTTGTATTGCGGCCGTTTGTCTTTCAATGCTCGGCTCAAACGCATTAATTGCGTTCGATAACGATCGCCTGTGATTGTTTCAGTCTGTTTTAACAGCTCATAATACACTACGCCGAGTTAATCCCACCAAATACAGAGCATGACCTTGGAGCCGTGAATACTCGGTTTGGCCGTCGACGTGGAAGCATGGCCGGGATATGCCCATGATTTTCTGCGCTTGGGGTTATCGTAATGAACCAATTTTTCATCCCCAGTCACAATGCGATGCAGAAATCCCTTCCGTCTTTGCCTTTCAAGCAACTGTTCACAAGCAAACAAACGCCGTTCAACATCTCTCGGTTTCAACTCGTATAACACCCAATTTCCTTGCTTCTGAATTATACCCATGTCTTTGAGGCGTTTTGAATTTGCTTGTTGAGTCACTCCCAATGATCGTGCCAATTCTTCTTGACTTTGACACGAGTCTTCATTAAGTAATGTCTCCAATTCTACATCTTCGAAAACCTTCTCTCTTCCACCGCTATGCCGATTTTTGACGTGAAAATCACCGTTCTTGAAGCGTTGAAACCACTCACGACACGTTCTTTCACTAATAGCGGCCTCACCATAAGTATTTGAGAGCATTCGATGAGCCTCAGCCGCAGATCTCTTCATGTTGAAGCAGAAAATTAAAATCTCCCGCAAATGACGAGAATTTGGTTCGTAAACCGACATTTTCAATCGAGAATAACTTTATGATGCAGACACAAATCGACTAATGTTTCTATGGAGTTATGTTAATAGATGCTCAAGTTTATTGCATGACGTCTATGATCTATTTATTTCGACCACTACTTACCGCTAAAGCCATCTATAGGAAAACGGCGGAAGCAAAGTTGTACACTTAATACAAATTCATAAAAAATGAAAAAATAAAATAAAATCGATGAAAGATATGTATTGTATTGTTTCTTCACGTTACAGATACACATGCATGTTAACAGACGTACGTATAGATATAGAGGAAGACATGGTAAATTCTGATATTTTAATAGCTGATTTTGCTTATTTTACTTTTAATCATTTGCTTAAATACATACCAAGCCTTGTTAGAAAGATTGACCTTTGCACGGTAAGTAACCGCACCTCACATACACTGTATGATGTCTTGCTCAAATTAATTTGTGATTTGTTCAAACTATTCAGGAAGCATACGGTTTGAGATACAAAGGAATTTATATAATAAACGCACCGTCTTATATCGGTAGATTCTTACAGTTAATAAAAACGTTTATGAGTCCAAAAATTTATGAGAGAGTAAGTACAAAATGATATTACAAACATTCAAAAAATTCATATCTGTAGTATAATTGTCATTATGCTAATTGCCATTATGCAAATATTTAATTTTGAAATCAAATTGTGAGACCAACGGTGACATTTTTAGGTGAAAGTTTTCGAATCCGGAATAGAATCAATATGTGAAATGATATCAAAGTCCAATTTACCCGCGGATTACGGCGGTGAAGAACCGTCATTGGAAGCTCTAGCAGGTATTGCATCGATCGATATTACGAATACATAGATTTCTTAATAATTTTATAATTTCAATTTAAACGACGTCGTTGAAGTTTGGAGCATTCTTCGAGCGAAAATTGAAAATAGCCTTTATTTAAAAAAAAACTACTTAATATAAATGTAAATACATATAAAAGATAAATTTGTGTTAAATATAACATGACATTATAAGAAAGTTGTTCTTCCCGAAAATTACGCACATATAATCATTCATACAGATTATTACGTCCGGCTCTTACAACGCTCTGTGCCAAAAACTGACAATGTATTTTCATTCTCTGGCATGTGGGAAAATAGAGAAAAATTAGTTTAACAGCAATATCGTCCCGGAACACTTTCGTTTTCCCCGAAAATTGTTTGCATACCACCACACTCAGACAGATTATAATTATTTCCGGCACTCACAGCGCTCTGCGCCAAAAACTGACAATGCATTCTCACTTTCTGGCATGTGGGAAAATAGAAAAAAAAATAGTTTAATAGCAATTTCTTCGCGGAACACTTTCGTTCTCGTCGTATCCCGGAATGAAAGAGTTCCGGGATGCGATTGCTATTAAACAATTTTTGTTCTCTTTTCCCACATGCCAGAGAGTAAAAATGCATTGTCAGTTTTTGGCACAAAGCGCTGTGACTGCCGGAAGTATTAGGAGCGCAAAAAAGTTCTGAGCCTTTTTTTCCAAATTCAAAATTTATTTAAAAACAAACAAAACTATATTAATCAACGAAATATTCCCCGTTTGCGTCGATGACCTTTTGCCATCTTTCGGGCAGCTTGCGAATTCCCTGATGGTAGAAGCTCACCGGCTTCGAGGCGATAAAGTCATCAATGCATTTTCGTATCTCTTCAAGTGTCACAAAATGTGTATCAGCCAAGAAATGCTGCAGAGACCGGAATAGGTAGTAATCGGAAGGCGCCATGTCTGGGCTATACGCCGCGTGCGGGAGAAGTTCCCAGCCTAACGCAAAGATATGGTCCTGAATCACTTTCGCAACATGTGGTCGGGCATTGTCATGAAGCAGTATCACTTTACGACGTCCTTTGCCAGTAAATGGCCTCTTTTCTTCAAACGCATCGCTCAAATTGCTCAATTGTTGCTGATAGCGATCTGCCGTTACTGTTTCACCCGGCTGTAACAACTCGTAATACAATACACCTTTCCAATCCCACCATATGCAAAGCAAAACCTTCTTGGCGTGGATATTGGTCTTTGGCGTCGATGTCGAAGGTTGACCAGGGTCAACCCATGATTTTTTACGCTTCGGATTATCATAAAGTATCCACTTTTCATCACCTGTAATGATTTGGTGCAGAAAATCCTTTTTCCGGAACCTTGAAAGCAAAGTGAGTGCCGTGTCACGCCGTCGATTTTTGTTGTCTTCGGACAGTGCATGCGGAACCCATCTGCCTTCCTTTTGAACTTTTCCCATTGCATGTAAACGTGTGGAAATGGCTTGTCGCGTAACGCCAAGTTGCTCTGCAAGCTCCTTTTCAGTTTGTGCAGAGTTTATATCCAACAATGCTTGCAGTTCGTCCGTTTCAACCTTTTGAGGGCGTCCAGCACGCGGTTCATCTTCAAGACTGAAATCTCCTTGGCGAAATTTTTGATACCACCTTTTACACGTAGCATAACTTACAGCGTTCTCTCCATATGCAACACAGATCATTTCAGTGACTTCAGCAGCATTTTTCTTCAGATGAAACGCGAAATGGATGGAAAATCGAATATGCTCATTTGTTATTGCCATCGTGAACACTGCTGATTTTAAGGTTATGTGCATCAAACGCCAAATTGCACGATGTTTCGAAAGATCAAATGTCACTGCTTTAAAACCGCAAGAGGGCGGGAAAATTATTGCAATTTAAATTGTGGTTTCAGTAGTATGAAATCTAGGGCTCAGAACTTTTTTGCGCTCCTAATAATTATAATCTGTCTGAGTGTGGCGGTATGCACACAATTTTCGGGGAGAACGAAAGTGTTCCCGGACGATATTGCTATTAAACTATTTTTGTTCTATTTTCCCACATGCCAGAGAATGAAAATGCACTGTCAGTTTTTGCACAGAGCGCTATGACTGCTGAAAGTAATTATAACCTGTCTGAGTGAGGTGGTATGCACACAATTTTCGGGGAGAACGAAAGTGTTCGCGGACGATATTGTTATTAAACTAATTTTTTTCTATTTTCCCACATGCCAGAGAGTGAAAATGCATTGTCAGTTTTTGTCACAGAGCGCTGTGAGTGCTGGAAATAATTATAATCTGTCTGAGTGTGGTGGTATGCACACAATTTTCGGGGAGAACGAAAGTGTTCCGGGACGATGTTGCTGTTAAACTAATTTTTTTCTATTTTCTCATATGCCAGAGAGTGAGAATGCATTGTTAGTTTTTGGCACAGAGCGCTGTGAGTGTCGAAAATAATTATAATCTGTATGAATGATTATATGTGCGTAATTTGCAGGAAGAAGAACTTTCTTATAATGTCATGTCATATTTAACACAAATTTATCTTTTGTATGTATTTACATTTATATTAAGTGGTTTTTTTTTAATAAAGGCTATTTTCAATTTTCGCTCGAAGAATGCTCCAAACTTCAACGACGTTTTAAATGTGTCTAAAAAAATCTAAATCTAGAAATTCGCGCAGATCAAAAGTATGGTACTTTCAATTCAGTTTTCCTTTTCATGAAAAATTGTGTCTGCCCTTTTTCAATATCTAATAACAATAATTATTCATTCCACCATACCATATTCATTCACCATACAATACAAATCCGTTAATATGTATAGATTAAGAAATTTAAATAGTCATTATTAGAACATAGGAAAATCGCTCGAAATTTTATGACCTTGTTTTAATGCTATCTTATTCCAGATATGTGGCATGCGAAATTATTGGAACGAAGAGAATGGTTACTGGAGCAAGAAAAAGTTAAGAGCAACGAGTCCCTACGAACTGATCACGTAATAAATGCGGATGAATTATTTGGAGTTAATGGGACATTTCGCAAGTTAGAAATCGACTAATATCTCAAAATTATCTTATCTGATATATTGTGATGTTAACGAATTCCAACATATATAACGCTAATCCAACGTATATAAATAAATATAAATGTTATGCGTAATGTAGAGAAGAATCTAGAATGGATATATTTATTTGAAAACAACATAAAATAATTTCGTATGAAAAAAATTATGCGAATTTTACAAGGGGAGGACGCATCGACCAGGAAACGGTTTGGAACGAAACTTACAGAGTTAATAGTACTTGACTACTAATAACTCATGGTAATAGCATACGACGCAATACCTATTCGTTTTCGAGAAAAAACGGTCTAAAGAAAAGAGCCCACAATGTATACGAGTTAGTAAGAAGGGTATTCAGCGAAGCGGCGTAGTGCAGCAGCGAAGGTAACGAACTACCGAGTTGGACGGGCTGAGGTTCGATCCCTGCTGTGTGGTTCTTTTTTTATTCTGTAAGCATAAATATGAAACAGAAAACATTAATAAGTAATAAAACTAGGTTTCTTAAATATATTAGTGTTTGTTAAATATACTATTAATAATTTAAATTGCAAACAAACCGTAAATCTTATCTATAAAATATATAATGTATAAGAAAATTTTTATATAATAATTGCAATGGAAATAGGAGTAAAATTATATTATATTTTCGCTGGAGGATTTTTCGATAATAATTAATTATTGTCGTAAATAGAATTCACATATACGAGAGCATTAGTGAATTCACCTTTAAAATCTTCATTTTCAAAAGATCTTTCTTCTAACGATTCTACATCAACTATTTTGCTTATTGAAGGATTCTCTGATATTGTTATGATATATGTAATTTAAATATGATCACCGAATTGCTCTGTATCACTAGTAAACGCACACTGCTGCTTGCTCTACTGACGACTGTTCCGATGCTCGAATCATTTCGCCATTCTTAACAATCGTTTAGAATGACACAAAGGAAGTTTTTGGAGGGGGATTGCCAGAAGAGATAAAGACACAACACAACTTCAACACAACACGACTTCAACACAACATAGAGAGTTGTAACAGAAATAAATATTTTATATATACGATATAAGATTACGAAAAATTATCTCATACTAGTTTAACCCTTTGCGATCGGCCAATTTCGAAGAGATCGATAAACATGGATATCTGTAAGTTGGTCTAAACATTCGAATCTAGCATCGGAAGGATAGTTTTCTTTCATTATCGCTAGCCTCATTTGCCGTGCCGCACGTCAGGCGATCATGAATGCCAGCCTGGCGGCATCGACTTCTACGACGACTTGCGAATGCCGCCACTGTGGCGGCATCGACCACAAAGGTTTAATAGCATTCCTATATATTTCATAACAATATTTTTATTCCTATTTCCATTGCAATTATTATATAAAAATTTTCTCATACACTATATATTTTATAGATAAGATTTACGGTCTTTTTGCAATTTAAATCATTAATAATATATTTAATAAACACTAATATATTTAAGAAACGCAGTTTTATTATTTATTAATGTTTTCTGTTTCATTTTTATGCTTACAAAATAAAAAAAACCATACACCAGGGATCGAACCTCAGCCGTCCGTTACCTTCGCTGCTGCGCTACGCTGCACAGTGGGTTAAATGGGTCTTTTCGTGGACAAAAATCGCTAGACGGCGTAATTCTTAACCGATTTCCATGCTTTTTTTTAATTTACTCGCGAAGAATTGCTCTACAATCGTTATCGAGCCCGATTTTTAAATTAGGCCCTCTATTTAAAATGGCGGACGCGCAAATTTGTCAAATTTATAAAACCTGTAAAATATCGAAGATTTTTGGATCGGACAAAGTTTATACGGGTTTTTAAGGCCTCTAAGATACATATGTAAGATCGAAATTCTCAGTTTTTGCCAGTGGAGAGAATTTGCAGTGGGCCGATATATTTTATACCTGCCTGATATCCCCACATTATCAATGTATTCTACTAATGAGTTTGCATATATGTATTGCATATATATATATATATACAGGGTGCACGATTTATCTGAAGACATTGAAATATCTCGAGAACTATGCATTAGATAAAAAAAAGTGGTTAATGAAAGTTGTTAGTCTCGAAGGGGGACATCCAATGATACCAAACTCGACCTCCCATCCCACCCCCTGGGGGTGGGGGTTGGGGGCAACTTTGAAATCTTAAATGGAAACTCCCATTTTTTATTGCAGATGCGGATTCTACGCCACAATACGTAAATTTTGTCCGAAACTTTTTTTTTTATTCGTGATAGATGGCGCTGTAATCGCAAAAAATTATATTTTCCGCAATTCTCCAGAAATGATCATTGGATTGATAAATAAAAAACACCTGTTCAATATTTTTAAAGAACATAATAAAAGTTATTCTCCCCCCATCCTCTCGGGGTAGGGTGGGTGATAACGTTCAAATCTCAAATGGGAACCTACATTTTTCATTGCAGAATTAGATTGTACATGAAATTTTTATTGAAACAATTTTTTTCATTCGTGATAGATAGCGTTGAATTTCTCCGAGAAACTTTTAGCGTTACACAGGAACAACGACGAGAACGTAGTAGTTTTATGTTCCCTTCGGGTGCTTTTTTAATGTGAATCCCCTTGCCTCTCACAGATCGGGGTGCTTTTTTAATGTGAGTCCCCTTGCCTCTCACTGTTCAATTAATTAGAGTAAGTGTTCGAAATTTTTACCTTCAACTTCAATACACTTATTGATCCTTTTTTCAAATGACTGTACACAGGATAGAAGCATATCTGCGGGAGTTTCAGCGCAAGCGTTTCTTATGCGTTTTACCATGTTTTCACGAGTTGTTGGCACTTGTTGATAAACCTTATCTTTTAGGTAACCCCACAGAAAGAAATCCGGCGATGTCAAATCAGGCGACCTAGCAGGCCAATTAATCGGGCCACCTCTGCCAATCCACCTACCATTGTAATCACGGTCTAATACTTCCCGTGCTGCTATTGAGTTATGCGCTGGGCAACCGTCATGCTGAAACCACATACTTTGTCGAACGTCCAAGGCAACATCATCAAATAGTGGTGGTAGTTCCTGTTCTAGGAAATTTCGATATTTGATTCCATTCAAATTACTTTCAATAAAATAAGAACCAATGAGTCTGTTCCCTATGATCTACACCAAACGTTAACCGACCAAGGACGTTGATGTTCAACTTGTCGTAACCAGTGGGGATTTTCTACACTCCAGTAATGCATGTTATGTCGATTAACGCCACCATGGTTTGTGAATGTAGACTCATCTGAAAATAGTACATTAGGAATGAAATTGGGGTTCGTTTGCATTTGTTGAAGTGCCCATTCACAAAACACCACTCGATTATGAAAATCATCGCCATGAAGTTCTTGATGCAGTGAAATGTGATATGGGTGATACTTATGACGATGCAATATTCTGCGAATACTATCTCTGGAAATTCCGAAATCGCGATGTAATTGCCGAGTGCTTACCTGTGGGTTGTGGTGAACAGCTGCTAGTACAGCTATTTCATTAACTTCTCCTGTAACAGTTGTTCTTCGTTTTTTTTTTAGTTTGTACGCTGCCATCCGAGATAAAGGCAGTCACAACTTTGTAAAAAAAAGAACGTGAGCGAACATTGTCTGGAAAACGCTCAGCATACAAGGCAACAGCATCGTCAACATTCCTCCTACATTCACCATAAATCAGAATCATTTCAATTTTTTTTTCTACGGTTGCAGAATTCATTTTCCACTTGCAATTCTGTTCAAAGAATGAAGGGTAGATATGCAGGTAATAAAAACTAGTCAAGTAAAATGAAATTGTTAAAGATGCTTTCAGTTCTAATTCTGAAAGAAAAGTGAGCTCTGACCGCATTGCACTGCCTTTTATAATAAGCCGTAGTTCGCCATACACCCACAGTGGCGCATCGAGCAGTTCCCTCTTCGATTCGGGTTCCCATTTGAGATTTGAACGTTACCACCCACCCTACCCCGAGAGGATGGGGGGAGGGAATAACTTTCATTATGTTCTTTAAAAATATTGAACAGGTATTTTTTATTTCTCAATCTAATGATCATTTCTGGAGAATTGCGGAAAATATAATTTTTTGCGATTACAGCGCCATCTATCGAATAAAAAAAAAAGTTTCGGACAAAATTTACGTATTTTGTGGCGTAGAATCCGCATCTGCAATAAAAAATGGGGATTTCCGTTTAAGATTTCAAAGTTGCCCCCAACCCCCACCCCCAGGGGGTGGGATGGGAGGTCGAGTTTGGTATCATTGGATGTCCCCCTTCGAGACTAACAACTTTCATTAACCACTTTTTTTTATCCAATGCATAGTTCTCGAGATATTTCAATGTCTTCAGATAAATCGTGCACCCTGTATACATTTTTAATGTATACAGGGTGGGTGGTTATAAGTTTACAACTCGAAGTGTGAAGGTAGATTGAGTTAAGACAAACATAAAAGTCCCATACCGTTTTGCGAGATTCGCAATAATTTTCGAGTTATTAATGACAGAAATCTGAGGAGTGGGAGCGCGCCGACCTCTATGAAGATGGCCCCTCATTCTTCAAATTTGAAAAAAATTATTAGAGTTTTGAATACCCGTCGCAGAGTTCTAGAGTTCGCAATCCTTTATAGAAAGAGTTCCGTCATTTAAAGTAGAGAAAATACCATTTTAAAAATCGGAGGGCCAACTTCACGACGCCCCCATTATGTAAAAAATGTAAATATTGTTAGAATTCTAGATAGATTTTTAATAGTTCTATAGTTCTAGATAAGTTTTAAAAATAGTTCTGTTTAAAACAATAAGAAAAATTATATTTAAAATTCTCGAATTAGGAAACGAAAAATGGCAAGAACTACACCAATTTTGGTTTTAGCGCATCGAGTGTTAATAATAATCTTTAGAACTCGTGAGGGGCTAACCAGAACTCTGAATAAAACATCGGATTTTCAAAAAAATTGATTGTTTATTAAACACGTAAAATGTTTTTTCGGAAATCCGATGTTTCATTCAGAATTCTGGTTAACCCCTCACGAGTTCTGAAGATTATTATTAACACTCG